GGCACCGGGACCCTGTCCCAGAGCTACCAGTACGAGGTGTGTCTGTCTGGAGGTTCCGAGACAAATGAGTTCAAGTTTCTGAAGCCAATCATTCCCAATCTGGTGCCCCGGGGAGGCGAAATGGAGAAAGCCCCGCCTTTCTGAATGGCATGGAATTCAATTAGGGGTTTGATTATGATGCAGAACTTTTAGAATGAGTGTATTTCTTTGAAATCTTATTCATTGTTAGGTAGTTTTTCATTTTGGGTAACTTCATTTTACTCAAGAGTTTTCACTAAAGAATTTAAGTCTATTTTTTGTTGTTTTTATTAACTGTGAAAAAATTGAGAGAGCTGGAATTTGCTTAGTCTTTCTTCTCAAATGCAACCTCAAATAATATATTCACATAATTCACATACACATTATTTTTCCTTCAAGTTTAATTGCACACTGGGCTCATTCACATTTCTGGGTGTTCTGACTGTGGATCCTCTAACCAAAGCAGTTTTTATATGATTGAGAATATTATTACAGACATAATATGAATCAAAACATAATTGCTTGTTATCTGGTTAGGTTGGTTTTTAAAATGTTATCTAGTTTAAGTTTTTCTTTTTAAAAAATCTATAATCTTTACATTCTACTTTTCTGGCAAACATTGCAGAAAATTTTTCCTGTACTTAGGGGTTTTTCCCCCCCATATATATATATACAGCTCATGCTCCTTTCTTGTCTGAGAACTTCTCTATACTACCCAAGAGAAGTGATCACTAGTGTGATGCTTATTCCATTGTAGGCCTTCTTTTCTCTCTTCTTCTTCTTCTTTTCTTCTTCTTTCTTTTTTGTTTGCTTGTTTTAAAGAGATGGGGTCTTGCCAAGTCACACGGGCTGGTCATGGACTCCTGGGCTCCAGTGATCCTACCACCTCAGCTTCCCAAAGTGTTGGGATTATAGGCATGAGCCCTGATCATTTTTTATTGATCCCGTGATAGATTCTTGATTTCAGCTAGAATAGCAACATTCTCCAAACTTCTAAATTTGTGATTGAGATATAATTCAACACTTTTTCTTCTTGAATAAGTGTTGAGCATAGGCTGAGGTAGCCATGTTTATACTTGTGTAACTGGAAGCTGAGAATGGTTTCTAGATAGAAAGAAAAAGGAGAGAAAATGGAAGGAAAGAGTAAAAGTGAAAGGAGGAGGCAGATACCTAGGAAACAGTAGAGACTAAGATAGCTACTTAGTTCTAGACCTGTCCACCTAAGTCCAGTTCCAACTAAGTCCCCGGTGTCTAATTGCTCTTGGGTTCAGACTCCATTGCTAATAGCAAAATTCTTTTGTTTAACCTGTCTTGAACGGGAATTCTTGAAATTAAGAGACTTGAAAGGTATGTACAACCTTGAGTACTCAATTAGACTATGTACCGTGAAACCCCGGTCTTTTACTGCATGCTTCTAATATTAACTTAATGAATGAAATGCAGGATGTACAAGCTTAGAGATAACAATTCTATATGAGAGGCTTATGTAACAAAATTTAAATTTGTAAATAATTTATCAGGTTTTCAACAGATAAATGCTACAAAGGACTTTATGAAATGTCTCATTAACTTAAGTCTCCCTCCATTATTTTATGTGTCCCAGGATTACTTTTTAAATAATATTTTTAGTTTAAAAATAATAATAACACTGAAATTGTTATGGGTTGGGTGTCTGTACCTTTTCTCAGGATCCTCATACCCTCCTTAGCAGACTCTTTCTTTTAAAAATTATTTGCTGAGTTCAGTGTGAACAGAATTATTTTTGTCATATAATATAAAATATTTTGACTCCATAAATAGTCCCAATTTATAGAACATACGGTTTGATTCATGATTTCAGTTATAGAAATAAATATTATTTGATTGATATACTCTACTGCTAGAAAGCCTAATGAAAAAATTTAAGTTTCTGCCAAGCCTAGGAGCTAAGATCTAAGAAAGAGGAAAATGTATCCAAGAGATGAAAGATGGGAAAGAAAAACTAACTTTGATCCATTAGGTTACTGACATAGGTACAAGCTTCTATCCCAGTAATATTCAAAACTGCATATACATTCAGGACACATTTTCTTGGACATGTGAATTCATAATAATGAATTTGGACCCGTGACCAATATATTTCTGTAAGGAAAATTGTCCATCAGATTTTGACTGTGACTGGCATGTTCCCATATTTTGAAAGTTTAATCAACTTTGTATAGAAGGAAACATTCTAAAATAGAATGTTGATTTGAGTGATTTATACCTTAAGAGAATTAAACCAATATGAAACACAAAATTCTTATTTGGTTCATCTTTAGTTTTCACAGTTAGCTAGGTAATTAGAATGCCAGAACGCATAGTAGTGTCTATTATTTAAACATTGTGAGTAAAACATTGTCTAAAGTTGGTGCAGTTGGGAAGACCCCAAGTTGTTTTCCTTTTCCTTAGAAGTAAGAGAATTTCAGTTCCATGCTAGCATGTCAGGATTCCAAGGAATCCACAAGAGATATGTGATTGTTTACTAAAAATGAGTTGAGATCTTCTCTAGTTGGGAATAAGCTTAACCAGCTATTTCAGGTGAACTGATTTTCTTCTGCATTTTACTTTTTACTTTAACTTCAGCCATTATATCAGTGATCTTGGCTGTCTCCCTCTTCAAAATCTCAGTGACTGACTCTCAGCTTCAACATGTGTGTATCTCAGTATTAACAATAGATGGTGATGCTCTTTATGAATTATTTTAGATAATGTAACAAGGCAACATAACAAGCTCACAGTTCTTAGACAATATTCACAAATAAGTTATCCACAACTCCTTAAGCTACCTATTGAGTTTGCATAATAAACTAGCTTTAGCTAGTACATCGCTTAAGTTCATACTCCTGAAATGTGAGAATGAATCTCTCCATCTACTCTGCTAGCAGTGAGTTAAGAGTTTAATGGGATATATACTTTTTTTAGGAATAGGCTGATAACTACACACCTTTTTCTGCTTAATTTCCCCAGAGCCTCCACTATACAACATAGAAGACATTATATTGTAAGCTCCATGAGGACATACAAGGGATTTGTATCCTCAGTACTTAGTACAGTGACTGGCGCATAATCTGAAATCATAAGTATTTGTTGAATAAACAAATTTCATTAACTTTGCACTTGCATCATTTCCCAAAGGGTCAGGTACCACTTCCACATTCATAATCTCACAAGATAGTAGAAGGCAGAATTTTAATTTATAAGCCACCCCGTATATATAATCCATGATTTTTGCACAACTCTGAGGAAGTAGAATACATGTTTTGTGAAATACTTAGAAAACTAGGTTTAAGTACAACACATGGTGGCGCTGTAAGCTAAGGCTGCGGGAAAACAGGCTTGCAGATGGTTACGTCTCTGGTTACAATTCAGACTGTCACATATAGATCTGTCAAAGAGAAGAGACTTTCTTAACCGAAAATTGCCGTTGCGGCAAGGATTGATTCCCAGAGCCGATTGCCTACCGACACAGCACAAGAATCCGGACTCTGAAGGCTGTTGGTGTTGGAGAAATGGAAGCTGAAAAGGAGCACTTTCCTAGACTAAGGCAAGTTCTGCTTCTCTTTGTTATGCTGTCTCAGACTTGCGCGGAGCGGAACGTTTATACTGTAGCAGAAGAAACAGAAAGCGGTTCTTTTGTGGCCAATCTAGCAAAGGACCTAGGGCTAGGAGTAAGAGAAATATTCCAGCGGAGGGCTCGGGTTATTTTTAATAACAACAAAAAATATTTTCAGCTAAACCTTCAGACCGCAGACCTTCAAGTAAATGAGAAACTGGATCGGGAAGAAATGTGTGGCACCACTGAGCCTTGTGTGCTGCAATTCCAGGTGTTACTGGAAGAACCTTTGGAGATATATAGGTTTAAACTTCTGGTCAGTGACATAAATGACAATTCCCCTGTGTTCCCAGAAGGAGAAATGATTTTGAAAATCATGGAAAATACTCCTCCAGGAACTGTATTTCCTCTGATAAATGCACAAGATTTGGATGTGGGCATCAATAACATTCAAAACTACATCATCTACCCCAACTCCCATGTCCACGTTCTCACCCAAAATGGCAGTGAAGGCAGAAAATACCCAGAGCTGGTTCTGGACAAAGCCCTGGATCGGGAGGAGCAGGCTGAGCTCAGGTTAACTCTCATGGCAGTAGATGGTGGGGCCCCTCCCAGAACTGGGACTGCTCTGGTCCTCGTTGAAATCTTGGACATCAATGACAATGCACCTGAGTTTGTGCAGCCACTCTATCAGGTGGAGATCTCAGAAGACAGTCCCCTGGAATCCCTTGTTGCCACTGTTTCCGCTAGAGATTTAGACATGGGAATTAATGGTGAAATATTCTACTCATTTTTTTATGGTGATGAAGAGATTTCCAAGACATTTGCACTTAATGAACGAACGGGAGAAATTAAAATAATCAGAAAATTAGATTTTGAAAAAATTGTGGCATATGAGGTAGATATTAAAGCCTCTGATAGGGCAGGTCTTTCTGGAAAATGCACTGTCAAAATACATGTGGTAGATATCAACGATAACGCACCAGAACTGACGATGGCTTCATTCAGAAGCCCCATCCCTGAAAATTCTCCCGAGACCACGGTAGCTCTTTTCAGCATTCAAGACCGAGATTCTGGGGAAAATGGAAGAATAGTTTGCTCAATTCAAAATGGTGTTCCATTCATACTGAAACCTTCCGTTGAGAATTTCTACAGGTTGTTAACAGAAGGACCACTGGACAGAGAGATTAGAGCCAAGTACAACATCACCATCACAGCCACGGACCTGGGGACACCCAGGCTGAAAACCGAGTACAACATAACCGTGCTGATCTCCGACGTCAACGACAACGCCCCAGCCTTCACACAGACCTCCTACACCCTCTTCGTCCGCGAGAACAACAG